TTCCCTGATTTAGCTGCTGCTGAAACTGACCGGCAGCTGCTGAATCAGGGATGCCTGGGGCAGAGCTGGACTATCAGAAGGGGGGGCTATGAGGGGTCTAGGGTGGCATCCCCCCCACCCCAGGCCCCTCATAGTCCCCCCTTTTCGATAGTCTGGCATATTTGATAATCCGGCACCCCCTGGGTCCTAAAGGTGCCGGATTATCCGAAGTTTACTCTATGGTTGACTCTTGTGATAGAAATGTGAGGATAGAAACCTACCAGCAACGAAACACACAGTCACTGGGTCTCTCCACAGTATCACTTACCTAAAGTAGTACATGACCTGTTGTGTCATATTTATAAAGCTTGACCTCAAAAGTTAATTCCAGCCCTTCTTTATATAGAAAAACTGCTTAACTCAAAGTTCCTAACAAAGGCGTATGGATTTGACATATTTATTTTTATGTAAATGTTTTAGGAGATTTTAATGAAATTAGTTCTTAACATAGTTTGCACTCAATTCAGATTTCTTATTAAATAATTTTATTTGTAAAAGGAAAAACATATAATTTAAATAAAATAAATCAATTTAAATAAAAAAAATTCAAGGATTTTATCCTTCCAGCACAAGACTCCACATTTTTGTATTAACTTGGAGTTATAGAACCACAATACTTTTCTCACCTTTACAAAAAATAATTCAGATGGACTTCTTGGACAATCATAGTGACTTGCTTTTCCTAGAGCTGTATTAAGGATTTTTCAGCTTCAGCCTTATCGTCCAGTGTTTTGGCCAGATGGGTTAGCTGTTAAGGTTTCCACTGAATTATTTCGCTATAAATGATTTAGTCAGTTTCATCTTAAGTTAAAAATGACAACTTAGTGACTGTACAGAAACAGTATGAGATTTTTGTGGCATTACGTACCTGAGCTGGTAGTAAGTGGGTATGGCTATCTGTAACTGGCATACTTATATACATGTTTAGTTCTGGAATATCCCGCTCTATTCAAGTGTAGCCAGAGCCTTAACAAGGGTGGGGCAAGTAGGGCACTCACCCCAGGCACGGTACATTTAGGGGTGCAAAATTAAAAATTAGAATATGAATGAATATATAATATATATATATATATATATATATAGTGCATAATACATGTTTAATTCATACAAAAATTAATAATTTTATCATTTTGGAGGGCTGGGGGGCAAGGGGGAGTGGGCACAGTTCAGTAGCTTGTCCCAGGGGCAGAAAACCTTACTTACGGCTCTGTGTAGCATTTAGTAGAGGCTTTTTTGCTAACCCCCCCCCCCAAACTCTGTGTGTTTGTCTTCAAAATATTGATTCTGTGACAGCTATGCTGTGGCTTTAACTGAACAGTTGTTGAACCCAAGATTACTCTGCTCTGACCAAAAGGAAGCATTGCTTTCAGTTTAGTTGTTTGTTGTGGGCTCAGTCCTGCTTCCCATGGAGTGGTGGCTACCCCCTAGCCCTTTGTTAACTTCAGAGGCAACAGGAGGTGCTCCTACCCCATTGACCACTGTTACACGCAGGCTGGTAGTGATGTCCATTTACTCGCTCAAGACCCAGACTCAGCAAAGTATTAACAACATGCTCCAGTATGTAGAATTCTATAGTGGCTTTTTGTGACTAAAGGCTTATCTCCGCTTAAATGCTACAGTGTGGATACTGCCTACATCATTGAGATGCATTAGGATTACCAGCTTGGTGGCGGGAAGGCCAGACCCTGGCCTGCCCCACCTCTTTACCCCTCAAGTCCTGCCCCCATTCACTCCTCTTCCACACAGCCTCCTCAGTGCTTGCTTTGCTTGCTGCATTTCCCATTCTGCTCTCTGCACCCCTGCCTGCCTCACATGGGACTTGCCTACAGAACTAAAGCTGGGGGCTGCAGCTGTCTACCACAGGAAAAGATGATTCTAACTGAGTAGGGACTGGTGTGGTTGATTGACCTAGCACTTCCCTGCCTTTCAGCCCACTGTAGCTAGACTTTGGGGCTATGTCTAGACTGGAATGATTTTCTGGAAATGCTTTTAACGGAAAAGTTTTCCGTTAAAAGCATTTTCAGAAAAGTGTCTAGCTTGGCAGGACGCTTTTCCGCAAAAGCACTTTTTTGTGGATAAGCGTCCGTGGCCAATCTAGATGTGCTTTTCCACAAAAAAGCCCCGATCGCCATTTTTGCGATCGGGGCTTTTTTGCGGAAAACAAATCTCTGCTGTCTACACTAGCCCTTTCGCGCAAAAGTTTTTCGGAAAAAGACTTTTGCCTGAACGGGAGCAGCATAGTATTTCTGCAAAAGCACTGACAATCTTACATGAGATCGTCAGTGCTTTTGCGGAAATTCAAGCGGCCAGTGTGTAGACAGCTGGCAAGTTTTTTCCGGAAAAGTGGCTGCTTTTCCAGAAAAAGTGGCCAGTCTAGACACAGCCTGGGTGTGGTCTGTGCTTGGTTTTAGGTCAGTTTAAATATTTTGCTGGGGGTGTGTGGTTTTTCACACTCCAGAGCAATGCAGTTGGATTGACCTAGCTTTTTAGTGTAGATAAAGCCTATGTGAGAATCCCATGGAACTTAAGTGCTCTGTTGAAGTGAGTTATAAATATTGTTGTACCCATTTGAGGATCTTGTGTATTACTTTAAAGGAAAATAATGAAGTGACTGGAATCAGAATCTAGTGGATTTTTGTTGGCTTTTCCCTTTTGCATTTAGTACTAAGCAGGTTAAAACTTTGTAAGAAAGAATTGTTAAGGTTCCCATCAGCTTGTGTTCAAAATAAGCAAAGACCTTTTTAGGATTTTGCTTCATCTTTAATTTCTTGCATTGAATCTTTAATTTTTCTTGTCTTCTGGCTGAATGCAGCCACAATTTCTGGAGCTTTGTTATGAGTCTGTTTATTCACTATCTTAGGGAGTCTGCTTTTTCTGCTTTGTTTTTCAGTTGCATTACTGCATAATGTTGAATTGAAATTTAGAAATGAAGACTGGATCTGGAATGTGCAATCTGCTCAACTTGCTCACTTTTATTTTATTTTATTATGGGGTAAAAAAGGGATGTGCCAGATATGTAGCGGCACATCTTCTTTCTTCTGTGTGGCATTTTGACTACAGTGATCTTTTCTTCTTATATGAAATAGAAATTGAAAGATACTGTATAGTGACCTGATGCTATTCAGCCTGTAAGATGAATGTGTGGGAACTTTCATAGGGACACTCACTAGGGACATCAAGCTCCTGTGAACAAGTGCCATTTTTTCTTTAACATAGCAATACATTTCCTTCCCTGTCTGTGCTTTAAAATAAAATCCTATGAAGACTTTGGATTGATAACCAATCTGCCTCAGCTGCTACTTACGCCTCAGAAAGCTTTCTTTGTCATTGTCAGTTCTGATGTCATTCATATGAGACACCCATGTTCTGTCTGTCTTTCTCTTGACTGCCCTTTGGGTTTCGTGGTTTTGCAGAGAAGCCATTGTCTGACAAGTTGAGTTAAGTCCAGAATGTCTAACTCCCAGGCAGTGAGTATTTGATGTAGCATGCTACTGCTGTTGGTATGGGCTCACCTGCTGTTAGTAATTGCAGTTCTTCTGAAAGCAGATAATCTACGTAGAGTGTTGAATATTTGGGTATGTATCAACTAGATAATGTATTTGTATGGCTTGAAAGAGCTACTCTGCTTCCCCTTCCGCCACCTGGGATTTCATAGATTCATAGATTCATAGACTTTAAGGTCAGAAGGGACCATTATGATCATCTAGTCTGACCCCCTGCACAGTGCAGGCCACAGAATCTCAACCACCCCTTAATTTAATGTTTCTCCTCTGCACCTATTTAAAATTAGTGTCTCTGTGTGACTGCATCTTGTGTTGTAGCTGGAGATGTTTGACTCTCATACCTGCAGTCACCTGTATTCTACTGGGAAGTTTTAGTCAATTATAAACTAACTTTCGCTTGTGCAGGAATTCAAAAGCAATTTCATGTCCTGAAATACCTGAGTAATCCTATCTGGATTTTCTCCAAATTAACAAGAAAATAATTTAAAATGCCCTGTTTGCCGAACACTTAGACTGTTTCTATTATTCAGTGAGGGGAAAAAAAATAAATCTGAGAAATAATTGGTCTGAAAAGACACTTATAGAAATACTTGCCATTTGATGATACTGTTGTCTCCATTGAGTGCCTAGAAGTAGTTTAAACAGATGTGCCATGCAAGTTGTGAGTTCTTTGTCAAAATTAAAGCCTTGTTTGATTTTTAAACTAGAAATGTAACTGTTTTGGTAGGTTCCATTATTTTTATTTCCACACGTCTTTACCTTTAGAAATATAGCTAATTCAGTGCTAGTGAGAGGCTCCAGGTAGACAGCCCATGAAAAGTGAGTTCCCCAAACATGGGCATTTTGGGTGCAGCCTTGCTTGTCAATATGTAGTTCAACACTTCTCAGGATGGTGTTAAATTGCTTTCTCATGTAACCCCCAACAGTGCCTTTCATAGCGTTTGGTTTGAACTGAATCAAGCATATTGGACAGATCAAATCTTGTGTAGTTTGTATAGAAGAAAACATGTCAACATATTTCCTAAAATGTTAGAACAGGAGATGTGCCAGGATTGAAAAATTGTTGCCAAGGGGAGCTATAATGATCAAATGGAATAATTTAGCGTTTCATGTCTATCATATTTGCTATCCGACAGGTTATTTATGAATGCTAGGATAAATTGGAAGCCATGCTTTGAAAGCTCTTTCCCAAGTTGAAGAAAGATTGCCAAATGAGATTCTTCCCCCTTCATCTCCCTGCCTTCATTTCTGCCAACCTTTTGCCACTGATGACTTGTATCGGTGCTTAACTATTTGAATTTTTGCTTTCTCCTACCCTTGTTTTTCTTCTGAAAACTCTTGATTTATTGATTAGAATTATTATAATAAATTTTTAACTCTGCTCTTTTTTTCTTTTCTTTTCCCTAGGTCTAGCAAGACTATGAATCTCTGTTCCAAATGCTTTGCTGGTAAGTGCACTAAAAGGTTTTGTGTTTTTGTTCAATTATCTAGATCACATTGTTGCCATCTCCTTTGGGGTTTATGCATGTGGCTTTTTTTTTTCCTCCCCAGTGTGTGTGAAATCAAATTCTCCTTCCTTTGGTGCTTCATTTATTTGCTCAGATTTATTGAAACAGTCTCCAGTGTATGTAAAGCAAAAGCCTCTTGTGTAAATACATTGATCAAACCTTCACTCATTGAAGATAACAGAAGTTTGGAATGCCCTTGAACTGTAGAGCTCCAGTCTTTGTTCAACTCATGTAAATATGACACAGCTTGTTTGTATCAGTCTGGTTTGGAATTTTGAAGTCAGTAGGTCAGAGTTTTATTCTACTAGTAAACACCAAAATCTTGTATATAGTTGAAACTAGAAAAGAAAGAGGCATAGGTATGGAAATCAGTCTTGCTGCTCATGGATATTTTATTATCCAACTTCTGCATTGAATCATTGATTGTTGATCAACAAGCTTAACTGTAAGAGTTGCATCATATTGCTGGGAACTGTTAGCAACCTTTTGTCAGTCTCCCCTTGCTTTCCCCTCCTATGTTAACTTTCTCAGATTTTGAAATCATTATACTAATACCATTGTCGAAGATCTTAAAAGAATCTCTGTCCAGGGAGCTAGAAGTAAATATTAAAAGCTGAAGCAAAACATTAAACCTTTTTATTGTTTAGACTCTTCATTAATCCCTAAAACCAAAATATAATGGCCCATTCGAACTTTTTTTGACTGTTCATTTTGAATGTCTAAATCCATGGTTTTTTTTTTTTTTTAATTTGGGCAAAAAATAAAATAAAATACCTACCAGATTCCTTTTGGAATTTGTGTAAAGTCTAAGACGACCTTTGCTTGGTGGATCATAGATCATATACAAGTTCACCATTTTAAGTTTGCAGTGGAATAAAGTGCCACAAACTTTGATGTACTTGAGTTTGCAGAAGGATGCCGATTTCAGAATCTAAGTAAGAATTTAAACATACAAGTAAGCTTAAGTATCAGATATACACCTTTATCTGCGAGAGGCAAAGCAGATGAGGTAATATCTTTTATTTGGCCAACTTGTGTTGATGGAAGGTCTAGTTAGGCAAAGTGATACTTTGCTTACTTTACCAGGCCTACAGAAGAGCTCTGTGTAGCTTGACAGTTTGTACCCACCACCAGTAAATGTTGATCCAACAAGATATTACCTCACCTGAGTCTTTTGCATCCTGAAAGCAACACAAGCATTCTGCATATTTGATAGTTATCTATAAACTGACAATCTTGCATATCTCAGAGTTAGCAGAATACACGAGGCTGTTTGTACAAATAGCAAATCACTTGTGGAGTGGAAATTCTGTAAAACAAATTTAAGAGGTATTTTCTTGTTTTTCAAGTCTCATTGGAAAAGCCCTTCCCCTCTGAATAACTACCTTGCACATGCTTAGTCACACTGAGAGTGATATTGTTCATACCTTTATGTAGCAATTTTAAAATGTCAAGGATCCCTTTAGAGCCATTTTAGTCTCTTTTCTGAAATACACAGTATTCTGAGAATTTCAAGATACCGTATCCATTAGACCGTGACAGTCTGGGATCAGTGATCAAATTGCCATGAGTCATTATGACAGAGCGGGAACTGATATTCTAGGAGTGACGGAACTTGCTTTTGTTATATAAGGTCCCCGTTATGGTGTGTTGGTATCTTCATATGGCAGGAGTCTTCTAGTATTCATTAAAAAGTGATAACTAGTATGCTTTCCTCTAATACTTTCCCTCTTTTTTTTTTTTTTTTTTAAAAAGGAAAAATAAAAGAGACTGATTAATTTTGTTTTTTTTAATGTAATGTTATTGGATATCAGCCAGACCATTAAAATAGGAAGACAAAGACTTACACTCTGCTCCTATAAACGGAACCACAATAGTTAGCAAGAAAGCCATCAAAATCTGCTTTTTATAATAACTTACACACCCCAAAAATGTCAAGAATTCTTCCTTTTGCATTTTTCTGATAAGATGGTAAGCTATAAATAGTGTTGTAGCAGATTTGTATGGAGGAGAGAATTTGGAAGTGTTGTTACCTATCTTGACCCTTGTTTCCTTTTTCTTTTTTCTTTTAGAAAAAAGAAATCCACACAATGAAAAAGGTTAGTAACTATTTAGTTGAGTAACTTTGACTTAAAGCAAAAAATGGACGAGGGGTCTCTTCTATCCCTTTCATTTGAGGTGGGGGGGGGGGAAGGGGAACAACCTTGCACTCTAATACAAAGTAGAATTTTAAATGTATCAGGTAAGGAGGACAAGAGGCTCCTTGAAAAAAAAAATTGCCAGGTTTGCATTGAAATATAAATTATGG